TCACCCACTAAGTTTCAGGTGTACAATGTTGTAGAGCAGTCTCACCCACTAAGTTTCAGGTGTACAATGTTGTAGAGCAGTGTCACCCACTAAGTTTCAGGTGTACAATATTGTAGAGCAGTCTCACCCACCACACTAATACGCCTTGCGACATCCCAAGGAACATCACCATAAATTTGAGAACATTGCCGGAGGTATCTAACATTTCATTTCCTCAGATATGACTTACAAGTATGTGTTTATCTTGATTTTAATTTTGAATTCACTATAAATTTGAGAAGTTTTCTTATACCTTAGGTTTACATGGTTAATTAGCCAACTTCATGCCACCTGCATGTAAAACCGTTTTTTTCTAGTCAAAGTTAAAGAACGTCGCCGTAGGTATATAACATTTTATTTCCTCAAATATGACGTACAGATATGTGTTAATCTTGACCAGCAAAATATTATTTCTTTAAATTTGAATTTTAACAATTCACTGAAGTGCTGTTTTGCAATTTCAAAGCTGTTTTACTTCCTACTTATTCTTAAATGAACCTATGATCCAAGTGTAAAATATTACCAAGTACAGCACATCTCATCAAGTGTGGCCTCTGCTCACCTCTGACTCCTCTGCCACAAGATTCTCTTTTGGGGACATTATATCACATATGATAAACGTGGGTATATATATCTAATAAATTATCTTAACACCCGGGTATTTCCCTAGCCAGAATTTGTAAGCAAGTAGTAAACAGTGCAGTTTTCCAGACTATCTGCACCAGTAAAAGTTATTTTACAAAGATCTGCATGCAGTATCTTCCATTATCTTAAAACATACATACTAGTATGACATAAAGAACATCACAGTCATAGAACAATACTTTGGCAGAACAAACTATACCCCTTGAACCACAAACACAGGTTCCAGGTTTACAAGAGACCTAGTGACAACCCTTCATTCCTGACGTTAAACAGTTCTCTTCTACTGGGAGCTTTCTGTACAGAAGCATGTACACACGTGCAAAACTGGCCTGACTGTAGATGTTGCTGTGCACATGTGCAAAACTGGCCTGACTGTAGATGTTGCTGTGCACATGTGCAAAACTGGCCTGACTGTAGATGTTGCTGTGCACATGTGCAAAACTGGCCTGACTGTAGATGTTGCTGTACACATGTTAACTGCTAGGAGGACATTCCTATAGCTGTTTACAACCAGTGAAGTTATCCTAGTTCAAGTTAACATTTCCTGGATGAAGATGATAAACAAATGAACCATTTTATAAATAAAGTGCAGATTACATTGAAGCCCCATAAATACAATATACCTTGTATGTAAGTTGATCAATGGCACTGGGACCCCAAGTGGGAAAGAGTAGAATTTGTAGTAGAATAGTTTAATACATTTCCTTAAATAGGTTATTTCAGAAACTACCGTTTTAAAGCTAGAAGATGTCAATGCCCACTATCACAGGAAAGGAAGTCAGACTATAATACTTATTCCAACACACATAAATGTTTCTACAGTTTTAGGTCTACTATTAACTAAATATTATGAAACACTTTGGCTTTGCTTCAATGAGCTCAGATAATTCTCAACAAGGCCTCTGTCTTAAGATTCCATGTTGCTCATTATAAATTGAACAGGCTCGTTTCTGAGAGGAAACTGTATGAATATTGCTCATAAAACTGTATAATCTTCAGAGGGCCAAATCTGCAACATCCAAGCACCATTTGTCTTTACATAATTGGTATTTGCAATTTTTTGTTTAAAAATGCGAACACAGCTTCGTATATTCCAGTTCAAATGCATGGTAAAGTTTGCAGTGTGTCTAGTTTAAATTCACTGCCTGTGGCTGCTGGGGTATCAGTGAGGAGAAGAAACCTGAAAGAAAATTCCACGCTATCTTCACAGGATGTGGTCTGGGGGGGACTTGGGGCTCAGCAGGCTCCTCTTGCTCTGTGCTGACATCTGGAAGCCTGTCTTCAGGGGGATCTTGGATTTCAGTCTGTAATAAAAATATTCATAAAAATAAGTAGGCACTCTTCTTAATCTTCTCTTTCAATTTGATCATAATGTCACATTGCTCATTCAACAGATATTCTATTTATCAGACATTTATCTACATTTGTCTACCTTAATAATGAGACTTTGTATAGCTAAGCAGTTGATGACAACTTTAGTAAATTGGTGTACAGACAAGGACTTTATACTGAATGTGAGCAAAACAAAAGAAATAACCGTTGCCTAATGGTAGACTACAGAAAACATCAGAACTGTGAAAGTCCCATAGAAATTAACGGCAAAACTGTCAAACAGGTCTGTGAATATAAATTACTTGGTGTCCAACTGAACAACAGAGTAACCTGGAGTGATAACACCATGAAACTACTGAAAAAGACAAGAATATAAATTACTTGGTGTCCAACTAAACAACAGAGTAACCTGGAGTGATAACACCATGAAACTACTGAAAAAGGCAAGACAGCAAATGTACTTTTTTAGGAAACTAAAAGCTTTTAAAAGGATTGTGTCTTTTTTTAAAGAAACTTCTATAGGTGTGTTCCAGAAAGTATTTTAACTTACGCAGTAGCTGTTTGGTATGGGTGTGCAACTGTAGAGGATTAAAACACTTACTGGGTTATCCTGTGGCTGCTCCTGGCCTTGCTGTGGTTGCTGCTGCTGTTGCTGTTGTTGTTGGTGCTGTATGTTACCATTTCCGGCCTCTCGTCTCCTGGGTCTTAGCCACCCTGCCTCGTAACTGCAACAAATATTGTCAAAGCAAGTTACATCATATCACTGCCACTAAACCAGACCAAATACAACAACTATTGTGATAGCAAGTGACATCATATCACTGCCACTAAACCAGACCAAATACAACAAATATTGTGATAGCAAGTGACATCATATCACTGCCACTAAACCACACCAAATACAACAACTATTGTGATAGCAAGTTACATCATATCAAATACAAGTTACATCAAATATTGTCAGTGGTACTCACTAGGACAGGACAAAGAACAGTGGTACTCACATATAGACTAAGATAAAGAACAGTGGTACTCACATATAGACTAAGATAAAGAACACTGGTACTCACATATAGACTAAGATAAAGAACACTGGTACTCACATATAGACCAGGACAAAGAAGCCTAGGACCATGAGGAATCTGCTCAATGTGGAGTAGAAGTAGACAATACTCAGGAGCACAGAGAATCTACTAAGTGTATACACCCAGTCTAGCCAGTCACGGTTCTCTTCCTCCTCTTCCTCCTGAAACATAGCGCCGCCCTGAGCGTTCATCACCAGGTTCTGGTTGTTATTGCCTTGTCTTTGGTTGTTAGCAGGGTGCTGATTGGCTGCTGCTGGGACATTGGCGTCAGGCGGTGGCATCGGTTGCGTCACACCCTGCGTAGGGGACTGAGGAACTCCACCCTGCTGCACTCTGTAAGTTAAATACTAGTTGAATTACACTTCTTTGGTTATGATTAAGGAACCAGATCTGCATTTAAAGTGATATATCCTGAAATAAATCAATGTATTATGATGGACGCCTTTAAACTGTCATTATCTGATGTAATTCTGTGTGGATGCATAGATATGAATGTCACCTACAGTTGCATGTACTGAGCCATCTGCTGTGCATACAGCTGCTGCATTGCCATCATTTGCTGTGGGCTGTAGGGGGCGCCTGCTGCATACTGCATCATCTGGTGTGGACTATAGGGGGCGCCTGCTGTCTGCTGCATCATCTGGTAGTAACTGGCATACATAGGGCTTGCACTGAAAACAAGACTAACTCTGTCACTACCAGTATCAGACAGATGTCAGCAAACCTTGTTATGCCTTCCACAAATCCTTGTTCATTTCATTTTGACATTCAAACAAACAAATACAGATAAAGAAATACCAATCTTTCCAGAACTGTAACCCAATTACATAATGTACCCAAATTTGTGGCCACAGAAATAATATATAATTCCTCTTCAAAACTTTAAAAGCCTCTCTCAGTGACCTACCCAAACATCTGTTGATAAGCTTCAGACTGTGACTGAGGGGTGGGGAGGTGTGACTGAGGGGTGGCGACTCCTCTGTGTCGTAGTCCACTCTGGTCTGGTGTGACTGACTGCTGGACACCTGACGACTGTGACACAATGTTCACACTGGGGGGACTCTATCAATAACAGATTAGGCTTCAACCGTTTTGATTTGAAAATAGGTTTAGCAACTGTTTTATCATGAATAAGCACATCTAACTACAGCCAACATAAAGAATAAAGTCCTCATCAAAGGCAAAAAATGACACTGGTCATGGAAAATTTTGAAGATGCAGTTCTTTAGCTATGTTTTTGCGACAGATTCATTTTGTTAATGCCTTGGCATGTCGACTTCATTTTATTCATATAAGAAACTAGAAGAAAAGGTTTGACCTTGTTACTGGCAATCCATGCTTCCTTTACATGTAACTTCAGATTTGTTTCAAGTTTGGTGTCAAGTGTGTTAGTCACATGACTTACCTGTGAAGTAGTCAACTTTGTTTCTTCCTTAGTGTCAGATGTGTTAGTCACATGACTTACCTGTGAAGTAGTTAACTTTGTTTCTTCCTTAGTGTCAGATGTGTTAGTCACATGACTTACCTGTGAAGTAGTCAACTTTGTTTCTTCCTTAGTGTCAGATGTGTTAGTCACATGACTTACCTGTGAAGTAGTTAACTTTGTTTCTTCCTTAGTGTCAGATGTGTTAGTCACATGACTTACCTGTGAAGTAGTCAACTTTGTTTCTTCCTTAGTGTCAGATGTGTTAGTCACATGACTTACCTGTGAAGTAGTTAACTTTGTTTCTTCCTTAGTGTCAGATGTGTTAGTCACATGACTTACCTGTGAAGTAGTCAACTTTGTTTCTTCCTTAGTGTCAGATGTGTTAGTCACATGACTTACCTGTGAAGTAGTTAACTTTGTTTCTTCCTTAGTGTCAGATGTGTTAGTCACATGACTTACCTGTGAAGTAGTCAACTTTGTTTCTTCCTTAGTGTCAGATGTGTTAGTCACATGACTTACCTGTGAAGTAGTTAACTTTGTTTCTTCCTTAGTGTCAGATGTGTTAGTCACATGACTTACCTGTGAAGTAGTCAACTTTGTTTCTTCCTTAGTGTCAGATGTGTTAGTCACATGACTTACCTGTGAAGTAGTTAACTTTGTTTCTTCCTTAGTGTCAGATGTGTTAGTCACATGACTTACCTGTGAAGTAGTCAACTTTGTTTCTTCCTTAGTGTCAGATGTGTTAGTCACATGACTTACCTGTGAAGTAGTCAACTTTGTTTCTTCCTTAGTGTCAGATGTGTTAGTCACATGACTTACCTGTGAAGTAGTTAACTTTGTTTCTTCCTTAGTGTCAGATGTGTTAGTCACATGACTTACCTGTGAAGTAGTCAACTTTGTTTCTTCCTTAGTGTCAGATGTGTTAGTCACATGACTTACCTGTGAAGTAGTTAACTTTGTTTCTTCCTTAGTGTCAGATGTGTTAGTCACATGACTTACCTGTGAAGTAGTCAACTTTGTTTCTTCCTTAGTGTCAGATGTGTTAGTCACATGACTTACCTGTGAAGTAGTCAACTTTGTTTCTTCCTTAGTGTCAGATGTGTTAGTCACATGACTTACCTGTGAAGTAGTTAACTTTGTTTCTTCCTTAGTGTCAGATGTGTTAGTCACATGACTTACCTGTGAAGTAGTCAACTTTGTTTCTTCCTTAGTGTCAGATGTGTTAGTCACATGACTTACCTGTGAAGTAGTCAACTTTGTTTCTTCCTTAGTGTCAGATGTGTTAGTCACATGACTTACCTGTGAAGTAGTTAACTTTGTTTCTTCCTTAGTGTCAGATGTGTTAGTCACATGACTTACCTGTGAAGTAGTCAACTTTGTTTCTTCCTTAGTGTCAGATGTGTTAGTCACATGACTTACCTGTGAAGTAGTCAACTTTGTTTCTTCCTTAGTGTCAGATGTGTTAGTCACATGACTTACCTGTGAAGTAGTTAACTTTGTTTCTTCCTTAGTGTCAGATGTGTTAGTCACATGACTTACCTGTGAAGTAGTCAACTTTGTTTCTTCCTTAGTGTCAGATGTGTTAGTCACATGACTTACCTGTGAAGTAGTCAACTTTGTTTCTTCCTTAGTGTCAGATGTGTTAGTCACATGACTTACCTGTGAAGTAGTTAACTTTGTTTCTTCCTTAGTGTCAGATGTGTTAGTCACATGACTTACCTGTGAAGTAGTCAACTTTGTTTCTTCCTTAGTGTCAGATGTGTTAGTCACATGACTTACCTGTGAAGTAGTCAACTTTGTTTCTTCCTTAGTGTCAGATGTGTTAGTCACATGACTTACCTGTGAAGTAGTTAACTTTGTTTCTTCCTTAGTGTCAGATGTGTTAGTCACATGACTTACCTGTGAAGTAGT